TATATATATGCATGTGTGTGTGTGTGTATGTGTGTGTGTGTGTGTGTGTGTGTGTGTGTGTGTGTGTGTGTGTGCGCGCACTATATTAAATGTATGAGCCATACCGGTATGGATGGTCATCTTCAAATGGGACATCAAATGTCACTGTGCATTCTGTCATGAAGTTTCTCCCTAGCAGAGTATTGTTCACCACCACCTCCACGTCGTTGGTCATCACTTGATCCTGAAACATAGTGTACACACGAATACATTTATAGTCGTTCAACTATCAGTTGGGGCTCCAAAAAGTTTGGCTTGTCTTCCAAAAGAGACTCGTTTCAACAAGAGGCACAGTTATGTTTCAAAGGTGTTATCGAAATCTCCGATTGTTTAAAACAAAGCTGTATTCTAAAAGTGAAATGATCAAATTATTGGAAAATCAACTTTCTCAAAACTTCTATTCTATTCCATATCTACCCAGGCGAACCTACAGGATAATAGATCAAGAGGAAGTCCACGGGGAAACTGGAGAAGATTCATAGACAAATTTGTACCCCCCAAAAAATTGGAAATAACCCTGATCCAGGGTGAGAACCTCATGATGATGATGATGATGATGATGATGGTGATGATGATGATGATGATAATGATGATGCTATACTGGATGAGATACAACATTCCGGGAGGTAGACGTGATAATATGTCCTACCTAACCATGACTGATGTTTATGGGATAATGGTTAGACTCCTCGTGGTTACACACAAGAGACGTGGGTTAGACTCGCGCATCGGAAGTCTTTTTCATTTAGCATCTCTGTCTCTCTGCATAAATTCTTTTCAACACAAGTTGGCCTCACCTCACAGCATGTTCGAAACAGCTCGATTCTTAAATAACCAAATTGTGTTCACGAGGGCGTAAAATAATGTACTTACAATCTACCTAACCACATTGCCTACCGTCTAACGTGATAAAATGATAATTTAGCATTTTTATTACCCTAATTCTCGCTCTACAGCAAGTTCTAAGCACTTTTCAATCTATTACCGGAGGAAAAACGATAACAGACAGCATTTGTAGGGCGCAAATTCCCGCCCAACAGCAGATTCTATACGCTTTTAAATCTATATTACCTTGTTGTCACGAAGCTGGCAGACTCCATGGGGAAAGATCTGGTGTGCACGGCATCTCACAGATAACTTTCCTGTTGCCGTGTGCATCGTAACGTTGTCACAGGTCGCACTTTCAGCTTTCTCTGATCAGTTATGGAAGATAATAAGTACAAGGGAATTGTCCAAGACGATCAAGAGGAAAGGGGCTTTTTTTTAGACAGGTGGACGTCTTGGACCGTGTCATTATAATAAAGGGGAAAAAAGCAACAAGGGGGAAGTTGGAAGTGACCTTTTGTACAGGTGAGTGTCTTGCACTTGTGCCTTTTAGAGCAAGTTCGATTCTTATATGCGTCCCTGCACGTTCTGTATAGTATGATCGAAAGACGTCATCTCCTATATAATCTAAGTTGTGTTAATGTAAAACATCTACAACGAATACAAGGGATAAGACATTTGCTCATCCCATATCGCTTTCACATTTGTGTCACGACTTGATGGAATCAGGCGCTAGTCAATTTTGGTGCATGTGGATTTATTGGTATCTTACTTTACTTTATCCGTCCTCTTGTACCTCTAGGGCGTCGAGGAGAGAAAGAGCTTCCTGTCTCTAACAGGTCCGATGGCCTGGCTGGGTGGGATATTGAATGTTATTATGGTATCCTTCACACCCTGGATCCAGGTCTTTCTTGGTCTTCCTCTAACTTTGTACCCTGATACTTTCCTGTAGTAGGCTTTACTGGCAAGCTGGTTAGGTGCCATACGTGTGAGATGTCCTCCATTTCTCTGATCTTGTTGTTTCTGACCATGTCCTGTCTAGTTTTGTTGACGGCTCTCCTTAGACATCTCCTCTCACAGGTGGTTATCTTACGTTCCAGACTTTTGGTCAGAGTCCATGTCTGGCACTAGTAGGTTAAGGTGGGGATGAAGATAGAGTTAATGAGATGGGCTTTGGTCTCAAGGGGGATGTTAGGATGTCTGAGGAGTGAGGCAAGCTGGTAGCTGACGCTGTTAGCCTTTTGTACTCTCGTCTCAATTTCTTTGTTGAGACGTCCGTCTTCCGAAAAGATGTTACCAAGTTACCTGTACTCGCTTACCTGTTTCACCGGATTTCTATCTGTAGTGGTGTTAAGGTTGCCAGGCTTTCCGCTGGTCTTCATCGTCTCCTCTTTGCTTTTACTGATCTTTATGTTGAGCTTTTCACATTGTGTATTCTGCCCGTCTGTGTGCTCTTGAAGTTGCTCTTTTTTCTCATATGCCAGGCTTTGATCATCCGCAAACAGCTCATTCAGGTCTATCGGGTTGGGGTTTGCTTCTTTTGTAATTTTGTCCGTGTGTATTATAAATAGTAGCAGTGATTACACACACCCTTCTCTCACTCCAGATGACACTTATTGGTATCATCTTAATAATAATAATAATGAAGATCATTTCTAAAGCACCCACTCCCGTTTAAACACAACTCTGAGCGTTTTACATAAATGCACGCACGAACAATATTCACACACACACACACACACACACACACACACACACACACACACACACACACACACACACACACATACACACATTCATACGCACACAATCACATACATACAACCACACTCATAAGCACACGGCATGTTCATACATACACTCTCGCTTACACTACACTCACACAACACCATACACACACATATAAACACACAATCAGAAACACACACACACATACTCAC